TTATCGCGTGTCTTAAGATTTTGATGGAAGAGTTGAGTACTTTGGCCACTGGTTTCGAAGTAGACGGCGGACAACTCCGATACCAACTATACGTTTGGCTCGAGAAGAGTGTTCAGGCGTTGAAATCCATTTGTAATTACCGGACGTTTTCGATGCGACACACGGCTGAAGAGCGTCCGGACCCGTCGTCTATGGTTTTCGGTAATTCCACAGAGATTTCCCCTTCCGATCGGCTGACACCGCGAGGTTCGCACTCAGAGGCGAGCGGTATAACGGAGACAAAGCCATCGCTTCATGAGATACTTTTGGCCGATAAAATGGATTTCGAGGCTAAACTCGACCGCTCTTCGCGCCGTAAACTATGGCTCACTTCTAACGAAGCACTGATGAGAACTCTATTGAGTTATTGTAGTTTACACGGCGCTCATGGAGGAGGCCTTTCATCCGTACGGATGGAACTCATTCTTCTGCTCCAAGAGCTTCAACAAGAGAGGTCTCAACAACAACTGCTATCTCCGCTGCCATTCCCGACAACTCTGCCTCTATTGGCTGCGAGCGTCGCCTGTCAGAAGACAGTGATCGCAGACCCCATAAGGCATTTGCAATCCGTAACACACGATATACTGAATACCGTATTAGACATGTCGTCTCCTCCGCTCACTATTACTCCAAACTATTCAATTATTTATGTGTTAAGAGATTTGGGAATATCTCTGTCGTCGTGTATATATCAGTCATTATGCGATTCCGATGCCATCACTTCCAAGCCTGATGTTCAGGCGAGAGAAGACTTGATGTCATCAGTCGTTTGCCAAAACACACACCTATTGGCCGGACATCAAACGGTTCGCCGCAATATATCGACCGCTTCTGAAAGCAACGAAACATTGACTCCAATAACGGCACCGAATAAATGGCCGGGCGTTCAGTCACTGCGAGCGCTGTTGGCGCGCGACAAAGACGAAGACTCTCCTAAACTACATTCCCTGCTTTGCGAGTCGTTTGTGGCCGTCTTCTTGAGTCAATTCATATATTCCTCGGCCGCCTGTGATTCATATGTATTGTACCGTTTAATTGGTATGGATTTCAAAGAGAGCACTTGGGCTCAACTGTTTGGCGGCGGCGCCAAAAAGCTCATACATGTGGCCACCGGACAGCCCTCTCAAACACAGTCTCAAACTCCTCAACAAAACAGCGAGGATTCCGCTGAGAGTTCTTCTATGGATTTATTCAACACACTATCGAAGCAACGAATGAAACTTCATATGAAAATATTGCAACAATTGAGTCAAACCGATAAACCAATCCCTCCGCCCAACATGAAAGAGGACAGACCCACATATCGGGAACAGTTTATTCCTCCGCAGACTTCTATGGTTTCATATTTCATGACTAAACCCACTCTTCCGGACGAATACATTCTACTCGATTACGACTCGAGCGAATCGGTTCAGACCGACGATGAAGGCAATGAAGGCAACGCGGAAGAGGACGACTTTGGCGTCAATGATAGCGTATTTGCCGGCAATACTGGCGGACAGAGTGTTATCGACGAGAAGAAGATGCAGCAGGAGTTGTATGCGTGGGGTTTAGTAAGATTCTCAGTGTTGAGACTCGCGAAACAACAATTACTGCATTTCCTTTCGGTGGCCGGCATTGAGATCTCTGACCTCCCGATTACGAGTCCACTCATTCATTCGGTATTGAAAACACTCAACAATTGGGAGAGTTATATGAATGACTATATGAACGAATTCAATGGTCCGCCGCAACACTTTCTGCCCAACAATTATGTGGAGACCAATCGACAGAACGGACCGGCGATTCATAAATACAAAGCGCTGCTCGAACTAAACAACACACCATTCCGTGACCACAACACCATCACTAAAGCGTCTAAAAGACTATGGAATTATCTGATCCGTCAGGAGAGAGTTCAGGACATATTCATACGGTTTATATTCGGTAAACCAAAGTCCGTGCGAACGGTTGTCTCAGAACACGACAGTATTAACGACGTGACCGACACTCATAATCCGGAACCGACGAGAATCGTACACAAAGATCACGAAAATATCAGCGCCTTCTGTATTAACCGAACGAATCCCGGATTCATTGCCATTTCGACGCCTAAAGAGATACAAGAGATGGACATATCTATGCTTTTGGAGTCGACGCCATTCCTCGAGGATGAGGCCGAATACGATATTCTCAATCTACAAAAGTATTTCATATTTATCTCCAATTATTACAATATATTCGATGTATTTAACTTTGAATATTCTGTTTCCTATAGAACTCCAGAATCTCTGCCTTCTATTGATTATCTCTTAGTCCAACATCCGGCCGATCGGCTCCAGTCGTCTCCTGGAGGTCTAGCCATACATTCGTCTGCCGTAAACAGTGCTAACGCTTCTGGTGCTCCCAACGCTTCCAATGCGGCAAAGAATCCAATTATGGTTTGAAATTTTAATCCTATCCTATATTATTGTGTTTAACAAATATTTAGCATAATATCTGTATTGTTATAGCCTTTGAATCAATATTTTCCTCTAAAATTCTTAACTGCTTTCTATTGCTTTGCTAACAAACCTAAGGCTAAACATCATTTTCCGGGCAATACTAGTCCACAGTTTTGTCAATATATTCTTGAAAGGAGTCGTTATGTCTTTCAACCGGTGAGTGAATTATAGACAAGTCTTTTAGTGAAGATTATTTGGCATGAATTGGCGTTTTTGTTGACTATTTTCGTGTTTTTTTGTTGGTTTACTGTTTGGTTTCATTTATTAACATTTGATTTTTATTTGAATATATCGTTTGAATAATTTTTCACTTATTATGACATTAATTGAAACATTGATATACAGCTCAAACGGCATAAGACAGAAGGTGTTCGCAGACTTTGTTCTCATCCAATGCTACCCTTATGTAAGTGAGGCTAAGAATGTGGTAACTTATGAGTAAATGATGAATGCATTGTTGAAAACAGATCTGTCGGGATCTCAAGACGGATCGGTCACTCTGTGGGAGTGGAAACATCACCAGTCAATAGCGTGTCCGCGACCGGCGGGCACTTTCGCCAAAGTGAGTCGAGTGGCGTTCAATCAACAGGGAAACAAGTTTGGCGTCACCGACGCCGACGGCAACCTTAGCCTCTGGCAGATCGCCACCACTCAGAACAAGCCCTTCTTCGTATGAACTATACTTTTCTATCTATAATTTACATTTAAATGCTATGTATTTATGCGCTCTATTGTGATGTCTGTCTGTGCAGAGCATGCAGTGTCACTCGAAGACTGCCAGTGACTTCACATTTCTGGGCTCTTCAAGTCTGGTGATGACAGCGGGACAGTCGGCCGACCACAAGAACATAGCCTTATGGGACACACTATTGCCACACAAGAAATGTTTGGTCACATCGTTCGCATGCCATGAACACAGCGGCGCCTCTGCTATACTCTACGCACCTCTCAATCAATTACTGATAACCGGAGGCAAAAAGGGAGACGTTTTTATGTTTGATATGAGACAAAGGGTTCAAAGAGACAGATTTCAAGCGCACGAGTCGGCCGTCAAATGCATGGCTTTAGATCCGGGGGAGGAGTTCTTTGTCACCGGTTCTGCTGACGGAGACATTAAAGTAATTATTGAAACCTATTTTTTCAATTTTCAATGCCTTTTCATCGCTTTAATAGCTTTTTCTATTCATTTCATTTGCAAACAAATTATCTCTTTTATTGACTCATATTTTATGCATTGAAGATAAGATCTATTTGTTTGATTAAATGCTAACAATATGTTTGTGTGAATAGGTGTGGGGTTTGGGTTCGGTTCGGGTATTGTTTTACTCGTTTCCGGGCGAACACTCTCGGAGTACACTATTCCGGAACATAGGAATGGGTGTTTCCCACCTATACGTCGACCAAAACGGACGACTCTTCTCGTGCGGCGCCGACGGATCCATGAAATTCAGACAATTGCCCGATCGGGGCATCAATAATATAATCAATACTATTTGAGTGATTGGCTAAACTATAATCACTACACAATTATTATAACTACTATTTATTCAGAAATCAAGTGTTTATCGCAATTCAAGAATTAATTGAATATTAAAACTTATTCTCCAATTTTATCTCAGAAAATGATTGGAAATATAATAATTAACTAAAGACTAGTCATAATATGTTATATTGATATAAATCTATGTGTGATATCAATCAACCGATTAATTGATTTATTATTTGGAAATAAAGAATTTTATTATTGAAATACATTTTAGTCATTAAGAAATAGATTCAAATTTTTCTCATTAAATGTTATTATAAAAGGAATTGTTTCTAATTTTAAGCCATTAATTGTAAACTTAATTTACACAACATTTTCAATAATTATTTGAATCCAATTATTTTGGGTTCAAATGATAAATATTTGTTTGATTTGATTGAAATTCAATTGAATTCAATTACTTATTCAATAAATTTATAATTATTTGTTATCAAAAATAACTCTTATTTTGTGATTGTATTATTAAATTCACTCTTCGAGAAGCATTTCCAGCAATTGTTTGTCAAGGAGTTGTCCCTCTTCTAAACGATTGGACTGTTTTTTGGTCATAAATTGCGTTAATTTATAACAATCTTATCTAATCGTATGACTTGTTGTCAAATGACTTACAGTTTGCCAATTGATAAGAGTTGGCACACACTTAGCCCTCAACTGACTATGCGTTCGGAAACTATTGTCCGCTTTCTTCCAACTGATCCAACAATTCATTTATTCATTAATCATATTTGTTGTCATAATTGGTAAGTCTATACTTACGGGTCTCTATCGATATAAGTGGTGACCAAAACCGTGTCATCGGATTTGTCACTCAAGACATCGTGAATGACAGGCTCTGCGCGGACACAGTCGGGACACCAACTCTGGCCGTTCGGGTCTTTAGAACCGGTCAACAGCACAAGAATTGATTTGCTTTTATCCTTTGAAATGTCTTCAATGGTTTGCAAAAGAGTTTGAAAGTCGTTATTAACAATGATTTCCTTCATCGCAGATATCGTTAGACTTTTGAATCAATCGTTAGACTCAGAGAGAAGGGAACGTGACTTTGAAAGACAGGTGCGATTGAGTGGTCGACCGGTGCGCCTACCGGTGCCTCACAGTTGCCAACAACGCTATTGTGAACCAAATTAAGAAAAGTTTGAGTTTAAGGGATAAGCGATTGTATGAATGAAATGAATGGATGAATGAATGAATACACAGACAGAGAGTGATAGAGAGGGGAGACCTTACGAGTGAGGGCTGAGACAAAAAACTCAATGAATGAATGGTTTGGATGAAAGTCCCTGTAATGCAGGCGAAGAAATGGGTGAACACAACAGTCTCTGTAGTAATAGTAATACTCAATGTTTTGGGGAAAATAACATCACTTCTGGGCTTTGCTTTTGCTTTTTTCCATTCATATGTATAGTATTTTCTACACTCTTATGAGTTGAGAGCGATATCTATGGAAAGAAATGGTTTCAAACCATTGAAGGCCAGCACCGGTAGTATCGTATCAATGGTATGGCAATAGTGGTGTTCTAATGCCTAATGCATAGTAAGAGAGCAGTTGTCACACAAAAACTTTTTTTTCAGCACAACTATTAGTTTACATAGGATTGGGACGAGTGAGTGAGTGGAGGCACTGGAGTGCCGGTGCCAGTGATGCCGGGAGTTGTGGTGCAGCAGAAGTTTTGAGTGAAAAAATGTTTGTCAAGTTATACTATACCACTCTTACGCCTGTGTTTTGTGCACATATGCCTCGAAATGCCATTTCATTCATTCATTCATTCATAGCCTCTGAGCACTGACTCTCTCCTCCACTGCCAAAGAGCTCAGACCTGAACAGAACGTGCAGTTCGTGTCACAAGTGATCGACGCTCTCCTCAATCAGTGAATCGAAAGATTTTTTTGTCATAAAATGTTTATAAAAACGGACAGAAATGAGAAATCTTGCCGTTAATAAAGATTTCAAAGTCATTTCAAATGACATAAACTATGAAAAAATTTGTTTAAAAATAAAACTTAAAAAAGTTTATCAAAAAGTTTTGGAAAACAATCTGAATGTGGAAACAGTGAAGAAAGCGCTTAGAAATCGAGAAATGATTGAAAGCCAACCGAAAGTTAAAATGAAAGCAATTTCTGCGAAGTGTTTGTCGAATGAGTTTTCGGTGAAAAGACTAATCGGTAGTCGTTTTGCGCAGAGTTTGTGTTCATTAATGGTATTAATAATCGCAATATATGTGAAACGTTGGGATCATTTGATATCTAGTCGTTGTGTTGTGTCCAACAATTACTTCGTGATGGAAGCGAGTCGTCCGCCGACTAACTGTCAAATCTGTCGTAATGTCGACCGCTTTCTCATTCTGGAGAACACAACCAAAGCTGAGTTCGCGAAGTATGCATATTCTGGTCAACCCATTCTGGTTCGCGGGGCGACCCATCACTGGTCAGCGCTCAACACATTTAGCTTTGATTTCTTTCATAAGATTTATTCGGAAACTGCCGGCGCTTACGACAGCGTTGAACACGAGTGTCAGTTCTTCCCATTCAAGAGTGAATTCAATCATTTGAGTGAAGTGTTTGCAATGCCTGAGGAAAGGGTTCGCATGACTCCACACGTCTCGAAGCCCTGGTATATCGGATGGTGAGTCGGGTTTGCCATTAATGTACTCTTTGTTTCATTTAGTGAATACCAAATATGCAATCAATGCTTATGTTTAGAATATTTCAGTGTATTTGTTATGTTTTCGCAACAATTCCTATAAATTCTTGATATTCTGTTCTATACTCTAAACACTGTTATTGAGTTAAGGGGTGGTTGACTGACGTCTCCCAGCAGTGGATCATTCCCTGCAATGCAATGGCAATGAATCGCTCTTTTTGTAACTCGTCTGACGTCTGACTGCTGTCCCTCTAATGTCCTCTACTAATGAATTTCCTTTCAATGATGTGCACAAAAAATTTGCTAAAAAACGGATGCTTTACTTATCGGAAAACTTTTGTGCTCTCTCTCTCACACTCCGGCGGTGGCAACAAATGCCAGGTTTTGCTGCCAGATATCTGCGCCTGCCACGACGGCCTNTCTCTCTCTCTCTCTCCCTCTCTCTCTCTCATTTAAAAATAGTAAAAAGGACTGCATTTTGTTTGCTTCTAAACTAATAACTAAAGTCAAGCTATTATTAAATAAATGTTAACATTTGGCGAAACTTTTTGTCCAAAAAATAGGAGTAATTGTAATCCAGAAATTGCATCGATTTTACGTAAACACTACGAGAGACCCACTTTCCTACCGGACGACTCCGAGTCGAGTGCCATCGATTGGATCTTTATGGGGTACTCACAGGTCGGGGCCAGTATGCATGTATGTATTCACTACACACACCCCACACACCACATACACCATACCACACATTTGGGACACTAGTATAATATGCATCACTGTTTCTGTTAACTCTATTTCCGGTTAGGAACTCCACATTTTGCCATAAGTTTTGCAACAAATCATTATATCTTTTTAAAATACATCTTTAGAAGCAATGTTTCACTTTTGAGATGAAGTTTTCCAGATATGGGGGAAATGGATGAGTAGTGAGAGAGGATGGGCTCATATTGAGTGATAGATTCCTTAATTGTTGCCCACGTTTTGATATTTAGTCGATAAATATTTACATTATATAACATTTAGGTAATATGAATACAATTAAACAGTGATTACATATGAATGATATTTTGTGTGATTTTCAAATTTATATATAGAAAATACTTTCCAAATGCAAATATCAATTATAACTGCATTTTTAGCATTTTTTAGTGAAAATAACACTCGAAAACATGAGAAAAGGTGTTTTCGTGTACTCCTATAACACGGTCTATAATTTAAATGCAATATTAATGTGAAAATTCCATGCATTGAAACCATAATTGAGCGGAAATTCGAGTTTTTCATTGAAATAACAAATAAACATTGTTTGAATTGACAGATCATTAAAACAAAGTAAGCCTTAAAATATGGTAAATTTGATTTGTTTGGTCAACAGTTAGACTACGTGCAGAGGCCGTCGTGGCAGGCGCAGATATCTGGCAGCAAAACCTGGCATTTGTTGCCACCGCCGGAGTGTGAAAGAGAGTGCAAAGCCATTAACATAACCGTTCAAACGGGAGAAATAAGTACGTGATCTTACGTTATGTATTCATTCGCACAACCATTTGAAACACTAATTCAGTGTTTTGTATGCCGTTTATTACACAACTTTTAAAACCTAATCTGTCATTACATTAGCGGAGCATTTGTTTCATAATTTATCAATGTTAATTTTGCTGTCAATTTACTTTGTCTCACAACTATATTATTGTTTGTTTAATAATTGGCATAGTTTTGATCGACACGAATCAATGGTATCACGACACACATATAAATCCCGGTCCCATCAGTATTACCATTGGATCGGAATATGACTGACATTTTTTGACGGACGAAATGACATTTTATAAGTTTTTTGTAAAATTTATATTTATTTTATTTATTTAACAAATATTTAATGTTGTTTTTGAAAGTTATCTTTATATTAATAGTATTTTTTGTATTCATTTAAATAAAAACTGAAAATTTAGTCAAAAATTTGTCGTTTATTGGGAAAAAAAACTTTTTTAAAAATCATAAAATCTATTGAAAGTGAAAAACGTATTCTAAAGCATAGATTTATAGTAATTTTGTGATACAATAAGGGATGGTTTCTCTGAGAGATGGCTGAGTCGTGAACAGCCCGACAACGCCAGAGCCATATCGAGTTCCTTTCGCAGGAT